TCACGCTTGGGTTTTTTGGGGAAGTTCTCGCGATTTCAGCCTCGTGTACAATGTGCCGGCAATCGAACACGCCTAAAATTAGATGTTGTGCACCTGCTGACCGGGGCAATCTGCCACAACAACTACCAGCTGAATATGACTTGCCGCCAGTCAACCCGACAAAGAAGGAATCATGCAGCCCCGGCACAGTGCGCTGAGGGGTGATATGAAGTGAACTTTGCCTCCCGGCGACGGATTCATGGAGATGCCGTGTGCCGTGGAATGATCCAAGTGTTCCAGCGCTTTCAAGCTTTGAGAATGCCAAAGGACGTTTCAGAGCCTATTCGGAAAGACTCGGCTTATTCGATGTTGAGCCGAGAAGATCCTGAACACTTGAATTGTCACAGTCTTCGCTGGTGCGGGTCGGGTTGGCTGCACATCCCACTAATGTTTGTTCTTGCTTTGTGCTTTTTCCTTGTCCTTGGAGTTGTGTTGTTTGCGGAGGCTTGAGCCACAGGCTGTGAGATACTGGTTGGGGCTACATGGGCCCCATTGTCTTTCCTTTCTGAGGTGCAGGGATTGGCCGACCGCGCGGTTCCAACCGTACCCCCTCCTGCAGCCTGCACTCTACACAACCTTAAACCCTAAACCCTAAATCCTAACCCCTACTAAACCGAAACCCTAACCCCGCTACACCGAGCATGTCCTGGTTGCAGGGGGCTCCAAGAAGCGGCTCTTAGAGCTTGGCTCCGGTGCTCAAAGGCCGGCGACGGCGACGGATCTTCGATTTTCTAAAATGAGTCTTGTCGTGGGGGGGGGGGATGTGCAAGGCAGGTATCGTAAGACACAAATGTTATGGAAGCCTTGTAGGTTTCTTTCAAAGTATTCAAGCCGGCATATCTGAGCAAGGAGATGAGTGTTTCGGTTGGCACGCGCACTGCAGCCTGGTCGTCGGATCGCAATGTCGCTTTCAAGCAGGTAGGTACACGAAGCGCAATGCATGTCCGGACAACGGCAGACATCCAGTTGACTCACAGTGGGGACGTGGCCTCAGGAGGGTGATTGCCTGCAGGCCGCTCGTGCCAGCCGCCGTGCTGCCAGCCGTGCCGCGATCCGTGAACAACGGAGGAGATGTGGAGACGTTTGGCAGGCTGACGATTTGGACTTCAGCAGAAGGAGAGACGTGAAGAGTTCATCCAAGAGCCAGGCAGCATTAGCCATGTCGTTTCCTTTGGCTCGCTGAATCTATTTTGATGAGTTGAAGGGCTTTAAGAGCCAGGCTCCGCTTCCTTTGCAGCGAGAGTCTTCGTGCTTCTTAGAAGATTTCTGCCCCGTGCCGGTGTGACTATGAATGAAGGCCTGGCGTTCTTGGGCACATTCCAGCCGGAGGCGGCACTACAGCCATGTACAAGGCTCGCGCAAGGTGAGGGTGGCAGTTTTGTGGGCTGTAGGTGTCGCGATAGGAAGGTTGGAGAATTGGCAGGATGTGCGGGAAGTTGCCGAGCGAACGCTTGGAACGTTAGATGCTCCATCATTCCACGGCTGAGTGTTCGAGATGCGAAGCGGCAGGAATTCGTTATCAGCGGCAGGTACAATTAAGTATCTGTTTGGATCCTGGTGGCTTTGCTTGGAGTGTCAAAGGCCTCACGCTGAGTCGATGGAATCAACATCTACATTGCTACTTAAGCTTAAGCGTAAGAGCCAGGATCTCTAGGTACATGGTGTTGGATCCTCTTGGGAGGCCAGCGGGTCGTTTCCCGAACTGTGCAGTCGTTGGCTGAGTCGCCAGCAACAACTGCTGCTGGACTGGAGTCTGATAACTACATATGAAGCCTCAGTGAACGCAGTTCCCCGGGAATCGTCGTGCACAGTAGATGCTGCAATTGCATGTTTGCCTGCAGCATCAATGGAGTGGTTCGATGAATGCTTACGGGAAAGTCCGGGAAAGCACCGAAGATGCCGTAGGTTTGTACCGAAAAATTGACCTGGAAAGTATATTTATAGCATTAGACAAGCTTATCCCCGAAGCCAACCAAGGTCAGAAATCCTGACATGCTGGCATGGCTGGCAAGAAGTCCTGACCAAGAGAAAGGCGCTACTGTACTGCTGAGAAGAACCTTCTCAGAAGCCATGCTCGTCAGCTCGCTTCGGAGATACTTTGCCGGGCATCTGCGATATCACTGACATTCACTGACTCCCCCTCAAGTGCACTGCAACTCTGCCCAGTATCATTCCGTCGATCCATCAGTCTGTCCTGCTCGCTCTCTATCGCTGGTAACACTTTGCTATACTTTAATTGTCCCGCTCCGCTATGCCTCTTGTCTTTCCCATGCAGGCTTTGTAATTGCAGCATTTCTGCCAGAGGTTCACACCCCTGAACACTGCTGAAACACCAGGCGGAGGACAAGTCCGCACGGCTTCGCAGCCTTCGGCTCTTCGGTTGCGATCGTTTCTTCGCAGCGAGGCAATGAACTTCAGCTCTTACTGGGCTCAGGTGGAATACGTCGGATCAGCGGCTGGCGCGGTGCGAGCCTGAGATTCGGGCTATGCTGGATCAAAACGCCAACCATAGTAGTGGTCGCTGGTACCCAGTTTGGGTCTGCATAGCTATAAGCTAAGCCACGAAGCGAAGGCTTGCTCTGCCTTCTCGACCCGTCAACTTCATGTCTATCTAACTAGGGAGTAGTGGCCAGAGCAGGACACAGACAGAGATCAAGACAGGTAGACGCGCCTGTCGCGATTTCTGTCCTTGCATGCCTGGTGTAAACGTGCAGCATCCAGCTTACACGCAGCCACATGCATCCAAGGGCGAAGCGCCAGCTGCTGCGCGACTGCTTGGCCGGTTGGGCCGAGGAGCACAGGGCACAGGGCCGAAAATTTGAGCCGCCCTTTTCGAGCCCCGAGGTGCAAGGCTTTGCCGAGGGGAGTGTGGGTTGTAGCGAGCAGGCGCCTGTAATGCACTTCTTTTCTGCGCTTCGGTCCTTCTCCTGACTCGTCTACCTGCACGAGGAATGTCGCGAAGCCTCCATGCGTCGGGCTCCCAGAAAGCACGACACAGCTTACAGGCCATGCAGGCCTGGAAAGTCAGGAGACGAACTTCCACATCGTGCCAATTAAAGTCGCGCACAGCTCCACTAGACAGATGACCAGCTGAACTGTTGAATCAGCTTCGAAGACCTTCCATGTAGCATAGCAGTTTTGCACTAGGAATGCTGCTGTGATCCTGACAGTTTCTTGATGACAACTGTCCACTTACCACTTAGTGACTGGACAGCGGCAATCACAGTGATTCTACAACGTCCTGAGATCCTTTCTTCTAGGGCGGAGGAATCGGAGACGGCAGCATCACCATGAGGATAGAGCTAGTTGTTGATGATGATGTTGATGTTGTTTGGTCATGATGATGATGATGGTGGTGATGATGACTGTGATGATGATGGTGATGATGTCTCGATGATGATGGCGATATTTATAATCATAGGGCTGGTAACCATAATATTGGCGATACTGTTCAGTCCAAACTACCACTGCATGTTTCTGCACCTCCGCCATCAACGGAAGACTGCGGTTATGCTGCTACACCTTGTCAAGTTTCTGACCTCAGGCAAAGCTCGCAAGAGGCAAGCAGAGACTCAGTGCCTAGCGATGGCCGCAGCCAACGATATCATCGTCATGCCCGTGCCCTGGAGAAGCTTGTGCCAATTACGGCTCCATAGATAGTTGTCGTTCGGTAGATCATAAGCAACTGCCTGTGCTCCTCTTGTCATGCCGTCCCTGCTGCTGCTGCTGCTGCTGCTGGTGCCGCTGCTTTTGCTGCTGCAGTAGTTGTTCTTGTTGCTGCTGGTGGGCTCGGTGTAGCAAGAGTGATACTAGTAGTAATCAGAACAGTATCTATGATGGTACTACCAGTAGCAGCACCAGTAGTAACTCGTATTTTGCAATTAGCAATAATTCTAGTTGTAGCAGCAACAGGAGGAGTAGCAGTAGCAGTAAGCAGTAGCAGTAGCAGAGCAGTAGCAGTAGCAGTAGCAGTGGCAGAGTAGTAGTAGTAGTAGTAGTAGTAGTAGTAGTAGCAGTAGCAGTAGCAGTAGCAGTAGAAGTAGCAGAGCAGTAGCAATAGCTTTTCCGTTAACTGGGGAAGGGTTTATAGTGATGTATAAAATCCTGAAGAAGCTGCTCCGCAGACCAGCCATAAGGGGTAGCTCATAATGGAATGATTTCGGGCTTCCTGGAAGAAGCGGATTGACAAGGAATCGACGCTTCCGGGAGGTTCGAAGATTGCAACCCCAAAGCCAAAGACCTCAAGCCCGAGCCATGGCCCCGAAAACACTTTCCTATAATTGTGGAGGGATTTATAAATATTAGGCTGTAAGCCTCTAAGAATGCTGTAGTTGCAGTACAATAGTTCAATAGTACATTCGAAGCCTTTAAGAAGGCTGTAACTGCAGTAAAATAGTCAGTCTTAAGCTTTTAAGAAGCTAAAGTGGTAAGTTCAGAGCCTTTCCGAAGTTTTAATTGCAGTGAAGTAGTGAATTTCACGCCTTTACGACTAGACTAAGCTTGTGATTGCAGTAAAACAGTAAGTTCTCAGCCTCTACTAAAAAGCTGCTTGCAGCAAAGTAGTAAGTTCCAAGCTTTTACGAAGCATCTACTTGCAGTAAAGTTGTACGTTCGAAGCCTTTACGAAGCTTCTAATTGCAGCAAAATCGTAAGTGCTAAGCCTCTACTGAGCTTGTAATGGCACTTAAGTAGTACGTCCTAAGCCTCCACTAAGCTTCTAATCGCAGAAAACTAGTAAGTTCTAAGCCTCTACCAAGCCGTTAATTGCAGTAAAGTAGTACTTTTTGGGCCTTTAATTCGTGTCGCCGAGTCCACAAATTTTCTGTTAAGTCAAGGGGCGAAACATTTCCCGTAAGTATCGGAGGTTTTCTCTGAGCCAGCCATATCCAGGATCTCCGGAAAAAACAACTAAAACATAGGGGTATTACTCATCAAGAGCACGGATTTGCAAGCTTTGCAAGGTCTGCGACATGGAGCAGAACTCCTTGCGCCTGTGGACGGGGTGGAGATGCAGGTGGACCTGTCTTAGGGGCTTCTTTGATGGGTCTTGCATCGATCGTCAATGATCTTTTCGTCCTTGATGTCTGAAGAGTGCATGACTTCGGTTGCATGAATCTGTGTGGCCGTCTTTGTGAGGCTTTGTCCGGATCAGTTTACGATGGAATGGACCTCGTGGTACTCCTGGAAAACCAGGACGGGCAGGGCCTTCTGCAGTGCCGGCATCCGACAGGGATCCAAGAGTTGGTAACCCTGCCCAAACTCCTGATGGATAGGGGAAGATACCTCAGAAGTGAAACGGATTCCAGCATGGCCGGAGAGTAAGCTGTAAAACAAGCAAGCGGCAGTCCAGAATGCAGATTACGTGACCTCGAAATGTAGTTGAAGAATCGAGAGAAAAAAGCATCATGAAGCAGTAGTCTCACGTGCCCAACGACCGCTTGCTCCACCGACCAGGCTCGAACAACAGCCAGTTTCCTCACGTCGTCGATCATTGTCTCATAGCGTGAAGTCTTGACCGGAAGGAGAAGCAGTTCTCCTACCAGGGTCCTCTGGCAGCAGTAGAGCTTGAGGCTTTCCTTACTTCCGACACTCGCACCTGCAGAGCGGACTCATGTTGGCAAGGCTTTCCTTCATGGGTTCGCTGGGCTGCAGCTGTGGCGAGGTTCACTTTCCACCTGACTGTATCTTACAAACGCTCCTCAAGAAGCTGATTGCGGCTGGATCGTAGGCTGCTCCGTGAGGGCAAGCCATACCTTCCAACGAGGCCCTCGCTTGCAGCTGGAATCCTAGAAAAAGCCGCAGCAGCCGTAGTCTCGCCCGGGGGCGCTTGCGGCCAGGCTGCCCAAACCCCCGCGCATCGACCGGCCAAGGCCCGCCTGCGTCGCGTGGCGACGCCATGGGACACAGCCGTGTTTAGGGTTTAGGGCCTAGGGCCTAGGGTTTAGGCAGGGTGTGGGGTTCCGAAAGAAGTTTTCACGCTTCGCAGGCCTCTAGCGCCTTACCAACAGCTGAGCCACACGCAGCTGGCAGAGAAGTCCAAGCAACATTTGCCAGGCCCAGAGATCGGAGCTGTTGGAGGTAAGTTTAGGTTCTTGCATCAGAGTCTGAGGGCTTTGGAGCTTTGCGAGTTTAGCCCTTCGGGGTCAGGTTATTCGTCTTGTCTCATCTGAGATTTTTGTTCCCTGCAGCCTCTCACGCGCGCGGGAGCTTCCACCCCATCATGTTTGAAGCATGCGAAGCCCGCACAAAGCTGCAATCACCCTCAGGGTCCGTCTGACAGCCGATGTCATAGTCGTAATCCTCAGTCTGCAAAAGCATCCGTGGAACTCACTTCAGCTTTACCTCGCCTTCGCGAGGGTCACGGGAATGCATCAACCAAAGCATCACCCCAATGTTTGCACACCGACATGCGCCGTATTGCTCCAGCGGTGTTTTTACAGGCCTCTCATGGCTGCGGTTTCTTGTGGCTTTCTTGCGCTGGCCAGGATGCCTCTTCGGCTTGACTTTCCCGCTGCGGCAGCCTCGAGACTTGTGACGGGGAGGGCTCAGATAGATGTAAGGCAGATGGGACGACGGGGGGGCTGAGGTCTGCCGAAGAGATGGCCTCGGAGGAGTTTGGTCCAACCTGGCTTACGGAGGCCTTCCACGCAGCATGGGCCCCAGCTTGGCCACAGCGGTCATGCGGAGTAAGGGTTGCTGATGCTCGGACAATAACACACGCGCAGATGTTCAGTGATGTGGGGTAGCCGCGGACACCAGAGTCTTCTTGAATCCTTTCATGGCTTGACATCTGAGGCCGGAACGCTGCCGGCAGACAACAGAGTCACGAAGGTCCTCAGGACCTGGATGGGTTTTCCCATGGGCTCCCGGGGAGTGCAGCACGAGACTGCAAGACCATGTCTGCTCAGGGCCGAGGACTTGGCTGTGAAAGGCTTCGATGCCGCTGGTGGGGCCGCCATGAAGATGTTTCTCACAGCTGCAGGGCTGCATTTTAGGAGGGACATCCGGCAGAGTGTGGCCGTGTTGGACCTCGGGTGTGGCGTGTCTACGAGGTGGAGTACGAGAAGCCAGATCCAGATTTGCACACAGAGCTCTTCTGCAAGTACCCGTGACCTGGCCATTCTTCTCTGGGCATCGTGAAGGCAGCCCACAGACCCCATGCTCAGGTATCCCTTCGACCAGTTTCCGGTAGAGCGCCGGCAGATCTCATCGTATGGTGACGTCGATGGTCCGGAGATCGCAGTGCAGATGCACCGCGGCTTAGAACCTCGTGAGACGATCCCAAGATATGAACCTGAGTCCAGGTTGCTCACGCACCTGTTCCCCTTCCGCACAGCCAAATTCTATTTCGGGGACGTTTGCCGGGAGACAACGAACTTTATCTTGATTTCCGCTCCCTGGACCGCATAATTCCAGATAAGCGGCGGTCCTCGCTTTCTCTCTATCGCAGAGGAGAAGATCGAGTTCTCACGGCGTGGACGCATCGAACAAGGCAGAATCTGCCTGAATGTTCCTGCTAGCGAATCTGCCCGACATAATTCTGTGCAAAAGAAATGATGTTGCATCGCTCGGAACGTGTGGTGACCATGTGATGCAGGCAAAGTGGTCGAGCAGATCGACTATGAGCCGTACCAGGTCCCTTACCATTCTAGCATCTAGCTCAGCAGCAGCTTTGTCTGCCTTCGTCCCTTGATCTTCTCACATGGGTTTAGGCGCGCCGCTAGCGAGGTTATTGCAGTGCAAGTTGCATGAGCAGGTGCTGCCGGTTTGTGGAAAGTTCCAGGACGTTGCTTTCAAGCGTGTGACAGAACTGCAACTTGTACCGTGTGTCGAACCTGCCTATGGAATGAGCTCACCGAAGCCGTGGACAAGGAGGAATCCAGTGTGCGTAAGAGTTGAAGCGAGGACTGGTTGCTGCCAGATCCAGCTGAGTGGCTTGCCAGCGTTACAAATGATGCAAGCACAGTCAAAGCCAAGCTCAGTCCGATGTACTCGAGAGTAGCTTCACAGAAAGAGGCATTTGTTTTGCAGGAACGGTTACGGGTTGTTGGTCCTGGACGGACACTCCTCAAGGCTGCGACCAAATTGTCATCGCAAGCCCACAAGCAATCTGTCCTCACGAGCACGGTCGAACACAAACTGTTCATGCTTTCCTTCGACCCAGTCCATGTGGCGTCATCTTTAGATTCTGCCACAAAGACCCGGATTTTGTGTAGAAAGGGTCCAAGGGATGCTTCCATTCCGCCGTCTGTCTGGTGACCCAGCCGAGGTACTACTGCTGCCTGTTTAGAGCCATGGGCCAGCTCGCCGCCTGGGACAAGCAAGGTCGGGATTTCTCGGGCTTCCGCTTACGTAGTGGGGCTGTGCACGGCACTGGTGAATATAGCACGTGCCGTCAGAGCCACTCATCTCAACAAACCTCATGAGACACATTCCGAAAATCTTTCTACTGTTCAGAAATCTTGACCGTGCCGTCTTCAAGACTGTTGTGCCAAGAGGTCGAAGTTCACAGCCAGAGGCTCCGTTGACGTGCAAGATTGGCTTCAGGTCGCTACAACGACTATTTCGGCCCACTAGACTCGGCTCAATTGCAACGCCTGGCCGCTCAGAGCGTCCCATCGGCACTACTGTTTCTCCTTCTGGTGGCTTTCTTTGACCTCTGTTGGGGCCGGCTGCTGTCCATGTGCAGCCGGCGATATTGCGGTTGGTCTTTTCCAAAAACGGTGTTTCGTTTATGGACGTCTGAGGACGGGAGATCAAAGCGCAGCAAGTTGAAAGCCAAAGAGCTTCGGCCACGTGGCACAAGTTGTGGAACCCTCTTAGCTCCGAGTGATTCCGAGTGCTGGGCTCCAGGTGGGCCTTGCGCGCTGTTCTCGCTGGTCGGAAATCTCGCCACAGCATGACAAGACTTCCTCGCCAGGTTGCGCGGATTCTTGACACCGCAATAGACTTTATGACCAACGTTATTCCCAGCATGGTGCCCGGCTTCTTGCTTGAAGGCCGGCAATAGTTGCGAGTCTTGCGACTGCAGTGGGTTCTGTCTGCGTGCCATGGCGATTCTCGACTGGAGGTGGACGGCTTGGCAAGGTCAAGGAAGACCTGCTGGAGATGCTACCGCACTTCCCTGGCATGCTGCTTGTCACTCCACATTTCAGTTCGCTTCCTGCCCTGTGTCCACGCTTCCAACGCTGCCATTCGGTTCATGCCCTGTAGGGCTCGAAGTAGTGTTGCATTTGATGTTTTGTCGTTGCAGGGCGGTGTCAGGGGGCTAGCGGCTAGCTCAGGTCGGGACAGTACCAGTTCACAGGTACGAAGCTGAGATAAGCAGCTGATCAGAAACATGTGGCACAAGACGAGTACTGGTCAGCAGCGAGCTGCTAAGATCCCAACTATGTGGCGGCAATGCACGCGAATTTGCAGGCAGGACCAACGACACATGTGGATGTGGAGGGAGTGATAATATTTTCCATGGAAGGCAGACAATGCTTTCTTCTGGCGCGACGAGTATGACACATTAGCATGTGCCTTTGCAGCGGCTGTTTCTTAGTGTTTTATTCTTGCACGAGTTGTCGAACCGAACCCCACAAGTTCACTGTCAAATGCTTCAGAATGCCCAGGTGGTGTTCTGGACTGGGGCGGCTTCAGCCGAATGGCATTCTGCATGAATTTCCTGGGATGTTTGTCGGGAGCAGATCCTGAGGCTCTCAGGGCTTGGGAACTCGTCTGATGAACTTGTCTGTTTACGCCGAGCTAGGGGTTGTTGTGTTCAGGTGCTCTTGGCACATGAGGAGGGAATCATTCGCTGCTTCCGGGACGAGCGGCTGGAACAAGACAGCTGAGTTTCTGTACCGATACTGCCCAGAGAGGTGACTGCAAGAAGTTTCCGAGGTATGCACGTTGCGGCGGTCCACACCTGCCTTTGGAGGAGCTACTTCTGAGCCACCTTGATGAGCGTTTTTCTTGAAGGCAACATCTTCGGATCTGCCCAATACCTTCAAGCGCAACCACAGACGTGCAGCAATGGCATGTTAAGCACCAGCAGTCTGAATGATGTAGTACGTTACGTTCGGTGAGCCCTTTGTTCAACGAATGCTGACCTATGGGACAAGCTTGCTGGAGCTGTGATCTTGTGTGCATGCCGGCTGAGCATACTAAGGGTACCACCTTGGCTATATCACTTTCGTGTACGAGAGCACGACATGGGTGGAGCGCGAGATTTACAAGCATCTTGGAGGAACATGAGCACAAAGAATCGACCTTCAAGGATGAAGTGGTGATCACGAGTTCCGTGTGTGTAGCAGATGCAGACGATCTTTGGCAGGGAAACCCTCCGTACCTGCAGATCACACGCGCAGCGAGGTGGAGGAAGCGAGGACAGGAGAAGGGAGGGAGAGAAAGGATGGGCGAAGAAGTGAAGAAAGCGCTGCGGCGGAGAACAAAGGCTTGGGAGATGAGCCGCCGGGGTGCGATCCTGGTGACGATCCTCCTGGTGACGCATTTGCCGAGGGCGAAGAGGAGGAGATGAAGCAAAATTATTTGGCTGTGTCCCTGGGTCTCCCTACCCAAGCGGATCGACCGGCTGCGGCCGAGAAGGACCCCTCTCCTCGCGAACAATGGGACGAAGAAAAGCGTCATGGAAAAACTAGACACAGGCAGTGTTCCCTTGCTGGCTGTGCAAAGCTATGGCTGCAACTCCACCGAAACACATTGCTGCAACCGTGCATGTATGCAAGGCAAGACATAGGCTGCTCATAAGCTCTGAATGCAGAAGCGGCAAGCACTTCAATGGTTGGCCGAGGGCGAAACCGACAGCTGTTGAGGGTGCTTTGGCACGAGGCAGAGCAGGCCCGGCTTCCGGTAGCGTCAGAGTGGTCCCCTGCAAAAAGATCTGTGAAGAAAAACATCAAACACCGAACAATTCTGAGCGTGGCAACAAACCTGGCTGACGATGGGACGCGACTCCCCTCAACCTACATGCGAGGGTAGTTCTCTCTAACACACACACACACACACTCACTCACACGCCGACTCATGCACTCACACGGAGGCACAAGAGACAGAGACAGGCAGAAACAGAGAGACCGCCCAGGCTAGCGACGAAGGAAGAGATGCGGTCGTGGCATGGGATCCTTGATGATCGTTTTCAAGAGCGATTTCGCGTGAGGCCATGTTGGGCGAAAGCATCCAAGTCAACAGCCGATATGTCTGATCCAGGTGCCGATCCTCTGCCATCATCAATTCTTTCGCATTCTACAGCCTGAAAGGCCGCGGGTAAATTGTGTCACCCCACGAGATCATCACGGCACGTCCTGCACGCCCGAGGCGACCACTTTCGCAAGCTCTTCAAGCAGTGGTCGACAGGAAAGGGCGCACCTTTCCTGACCAAGATACAGTGAGGGGACATCCGTGGCATTTCGTGCCAGCACTGAACCTTCTCGTTTGAAGCCCGAGTGGATTGCAACAGTCAGAGAAGGTCAACGAATGCTACCCCGTAGAAGAAGGTCGATGACTTGATATGTAGTGCTGGCACCTCGCGCGCTCTCGCTGCAGGAGGCTTGTTGTACATAGCTGCAGGCAGGAAGCATCGCTGACTCAGCATGCAAAGGTAGCATGAGCCATCGCTCTGCTTTTTTGTGACGTGCAAAGATTGCTTGAAAAGAGTCGGCAGGGCAATCTTCCGTTGGTCTTCGGGCAGCCACAACACGCACCGCTATTGCTGCATACTAGCAGCAAGATCACCCGCACAGATGTAGACGACGCTCATGTTTTACTAATCGGCTTCATGGTCTCGTGTTAACTTCCAGGTGAAGAAAGAACCTGCATGCTTGTTTTTGCTTTGTGTTGGCAGTGGTCGCGCAATCTCTGCACTGTTCGCCGCATGTTTTCTGAACAAACCCAACGAGATCTCCGTTCACGCATGACTTGTTTTCATTTGTCTTCTTTCTGTGTCTGTCACACGCGCATCAAGATAGCCCCTGGGGTTCCTTCAGGCTCAGGGCTCAGGGCCACTTCCGGAGCTCGACTGGCCCCAATCCAATTGAATCGCAAAATTATAGTGGCCCGGGCTGTTTGGCCTATGTAGCTCATCATGGGAGCTGTGCCTTCCCACTTGAAAGGATTGTGCCGTACAGTCTACTTTTGGCAGGACGGCGGGGTGATTGGAGACAGCTGCATGCAGCATGACTGGTGCAGCATGCAGTAAGTCAGTCCCCTCACAGCAGTTTTCGGGTTCCACATGCAAGGCCATCCAGCCGGCGCGGTTTCTGTTCAGGCACAGGGTGAATGTCGGATCATCGCACTTTGCAGTTGCTCCGCACGAAAGATGCAGGCACTGTGCCTCCGGAAGTTGATGTTGATGTCATTCAACATCATCCCGAGGCACAGTCGCATTTTGCTGCTTGCAGTTTATACCGTGCAAACCCTTCGATCATGTAATGCTGTGCCGAATGCTTTAGGATGCACTTGTCTGGATGCGAGCTGTGCAACATCCGGTCTGCCATGCAAGCATGCCGCATACGCACGAGAATGCCTTGTGGTTAAAGCTTTGGCCAGGGCTTGTTGGTGTCCAGAGGCACCGCTGCATCGCAGAAGGCACAGATCAGTGGCGCCCTGCCTTCTCCGCAGAGTTATCGAAAGGCTTCTTCGAGCGACGATTGCAGTCCATATTGAGCCGTCTGTGTCCACGTCAGCAAGTGCAAGTCCGCTTGCAAACACTCGTACGGGCAGGCTGGACCAAGTCGTGGTGCTGTGTTTGAACATGGCGTGGGGATCCTAAGACAGTGTATCATTGCATCATACCAGTCCTCTGGCGCTGCCATCATCTTTGGGTGTTTGATATGGATGTTCGCGAGGAAAATGTTGCCGCAATGTCACTGTTTCATGGGTGTCAGACGAGTCAGTGTTGTGTGCTGCAGGGCCGGCACTGGGTCTCCATCTTTGAAATCGACAGGTGGGATTCGGTTGTCGGATCGCTTCAGGCAGACACCCATAGTCTTGGCAAAGAAGACAACTGGCTTCTTGGCAGGTACTGGTTTGCATCTCCTCTTTCCGTGCGCTCGGGGCTGAGTGTCCGGTCGGCGTCTTCCATCGCCAACAGGTGCGATTCTTGCTAAGTTCCGCCTGGGTTCTTCGCATGGGAAGCTGCATCTTGTATTCCGAAAGTTCATTTCCACACAGTCTGCCCAGCGGTTGACAGTCCTCATTCCGAAAGGCTCCACCAGCGAGCAGGCTGGGCATATGGCCCGCGCGCTTTCGTGCTCAGATGTGAGAGAGCCTGGTCGCACCCGAGACAGCTCCATCTGAGATGATCGCAGCGTAGTGACTTTGCAATGTCATCGTGGCCACTGCAATGATAATTCTGGCGATGGTATCATGCACTCGGGTGTCAGTTCACTGTCAGGCGATATGGATTTCAACCGAGCCTGTTCAGACCTTGGCCCGTGAGACGCTGGACTGGCTTGCCATACGTGTCCTGTTTAATGCCTTGACAATACCAAGACGCCTGGAAGCTGCTTGGCATCGGCGTGCCTGCGGCGGCCAACACCAGCGCAGGCACGGAGCTTGCAGCTTTGGATACTTTTGTACCCATTTGAGCGACGATGCCGCCTGAATTGGCATTCACTTCGGCAAGAGCTGGAAGCACATGCCGTCAGGCAGATCGCGCTCAACTATCTCAGAGCCTTTCTACCGGTGTCCTAGCAGGCTCGCAGTTGCAAAGCTTCGGCTGTCAAAGACAACACATCGGAAGCTGGGGGCTGGGGGAAAATGTGTTTGGACGCAAGCTCTGGCCAGTTGATGTGCTGGCCCCCATCGGCATTGGCCAGTCCATGCTGATCTGCGGACCCAAGGTCAGGGGCGTTTCGGATCGTTCTGAAAAGGCTTCTAGGCAGAGGAAGGGACACCTTACATTCTATATGTTCAGGATGATTTGAGCTGGATACCTGCGGTCTGAGTTCTGTCCAGAAGCATCCTGAAAACTTGTATGCGGCCCCAACCCCAATCCAAACACCAAGCGTGCGTGGCAAAGACCGCGCGCAGGAGCGGAATCTTATGGAAAGCTTGGCAAAACCTAGCATGATTCGCTATGAACGGGCATCTGCCTGCAGTCTTTTCTCATTCTGCCAATCGCACCCTGGCTTCTTCAGGCAAATTCCTGTCCTATATGATCCGCGACAACTTCGTAGAAACCCAGCATTATGACCCAAGTACGTCCGCAAGTACGTCCGCCCGTTCCGTCGAGGGTTGTGCTGACTTCTTAAATCCTGCAAGTGCCTCGTCATCCAACAGCAACTGACCCCAATGACCAGCGTGTCCGTCGAAGCTGATGTGTTAGCGAACTCATCAAAGGTGGTCGGTTCTGGCTTGTGAACAACTGCCTGTGTCTCTGATGCCATCGGGTCCTAAGGCCTCGCAAGAGAGACTTCGCAACTAAACCCTAAAATGCTGGAACCTTCGGGTGGTCTTGGGCGGGCTGCCTGGTGCGCACGGTGCGAGCGCCCAGGGCAAGATCAGCGAACGCCAGTACAGTAGCATTGCGCCCTAAACCTAACCCCAAGCCTTTCCGCCAGGACACTGGCAAGAGCACTTTGGCCAATCAGGCCCATTCCGGGTGGCATTCGCTTCGGTGCCAAACACGGTAAGATTGGGGCTGTAGGTTTGGAGTGCAAGCTCTGGGGTTGAGGGTTTGGACCCTTACCCTGCATGTCAGGTTGTGGAATATGCGCTTGCCGGCCGCCAAGTGGACAAGGCTCGGGATGCCGAATTCGAGAAGTCCCTGTTCACAGCAATGCCCGTACGTCAGTAAGACGAGTCTGGCAGGTGGTGCATTTCCAGTCCTCTTCAGCACCACCAGCAGATCCAACCCTACAGCGCGTAGGGGCTCTGATGCAGCTTGTCCGGGCGCCCAGGCCTTGCAAAAGAGCGGCTAGATAGTTCGTATGACGTTACCGAAGTGCCTAGCATGCAGCAACTAGCACTCATTGCGGCGGTTGTCGACACGTGAAAGTTTGGACAAGAAACAGGCAAAACCCCCGCAACCTCGGCAGTGAAACAGAGGAGACGTCTAAATCAATGGCGAGAAAGGCTGTAACCAAAGGCAGGCGTGCTCGAACTGCTATTGTATAAGCTGTATCTTGTCGGCCTCCCCTTACGGGATAAGGCTGTGCTGAGGTTTCTTCTTTTTCCTGAGATGGGGCGGATAGGAAGGAGTTGGAACACAGAACCCGAAACATGGCCTTACTCCAAAGGTAGAGCATGTCACCCCAATCTAAACCCTAAACCCTAAACCCTAAACCTATGACAGTGGCGAGGCGGTGCCAGCAGCTTCTTCTCAGGCCCAGAGTTTTGTTAGGGCGAGCACAGCCTGTACTTGTTAGTACTGCTGCAAGTAGGAGGAGAATTGCCAGTACCCCTAAGTAGTACCCCGGTACCACCAAAACTGTTATACGACAATACTACCATACTACTACTATAGACTATAGTACTATACTACCATAATACGATACAAGTATATCCTGCTGCTGCTGCTGCTGCTGCTGCTGCTGCTGCTGCGACCGCCAGTGCTGCTGCTACTGCCGCGTGGTGAAGGTACCAGCTGGAGCTGGTACTGCTGCAGCTCCTTCTCCTCCTACCACGACGACGACGACGACGACGACGACGACGACGAGTACGACGACAACTACGACTACGAAGACGACGATGCCTTTCCGCTACTGTGCTCGAAAGACTTGGGTGGCCAGACGAAGCACCCTGCTCGAGGACTACGCTTGGTCACTGACTAGAAGAAAAGAACGGGTGTGCAGACCGTGTTTGGATTCTGTCCCGTGCCCGCAGTCTGCTGCCTACCTCCCCGCTCTCTTCGAAGCCGTTGCTGTGGCCGAGGCTGGGCGGCTCTTTGCTTGCGGCTGTGTTGGGATAGCAAGTGCTTTTGTTTGTGTAGGTCATCAGGACCCACGGTACTGGGAACGCACGATAAAGAGTTCACAGACCACTGAGTTCTCGAAAGGGGGTGATAGCCCGTGCAGGAAGTCCGGGACGGAGGCAAGCACGCACTCTTGATTCTCGACACCGCCGCCTCCCCATAAGGGCTGAGAGGTTTGACATGGCTTTCTTACTTTTGCCCGAGCCTCTCCACCTGGACACGGCTCGTGAGGTCGCTCCCCTCTTGGATGCTTGGGAATTGGCTATGCAGCTCGCTGAGGCCTTCGGGGGACGTTCTGAGGAGAAGCTCTGAAACAGCATGAGCTCTGAGGCGGCCGGCGACCTCGGTGATGCAGAGGCCCTGGCGGCACAGAGGCGTGCTGCTCTTGCTGTGGCCGGCTTAGCTCCTGCGCCGTGTTTGCTGAGGCTTTCGTGGCACGGACACGCAATGAGAAGTTTTGGTGTTGTGTCTGCAAGGCCTTGCTGGAACGGGCGGCAAGCCTCCAAAGTGGAGGAGCACTGACAATGCTTGGGCCTGAAAATTTGTGGAGTCTGGGACAGCACGTTATGTTATCAGGTTGTTGACGAAGCGGATCGTATTCTCACTAGCGAGCTGCCCCAAGGTTGGCTCTCTTGGAAACTGAGGCCAGGCCCTTGTCAGCGTGCAATGGCAAGTCGAGTTTCAAGAACACAGATATGTACGATTGCATCCCAGTGCTTCAGGAGGTTCTTTGTGTTTTGAAGATCTTACATCATCGGCGAACTGCCAGTTTTTGCTGTGTTTCCCAATGTCGCCCAAGTTTGGGGTTTTAGTAAAGTCTATGGCAGGTTAGGCAGGTAGAGGATTTGTGCCATATCGGGATGATGGTTCATGCTTAGGAGACCGGCTCAAGCCTGACACGTCGGACCAGAAGCCACTATGAAAGCACGGCATAAGGCGGCTCTAGGTTGGCGCATGGGAGCGTCCAAATGTCGAGGATTGTGCCAATCACTTGTTGCGCGGATTAGTCCATCACAGGAAGGATCGTAGTCCGAAGGACTGGCAGCGGTCTTTGACACTCAGCCAGTCCACTGACTTCCCGGCGCTCGTGCAGCTCCCCTGTTGAACTCTTCGATTTTGTGCTGCTTTTGCACCGCTCAGCTGTGGCTGCTTCGGGGTGATTAGTTAAGAGGTGATTCTGCTGCTTCGGGCAGAAACTCTGTTCGACTGCTTTGCTCGTGTCAGTTTGAGTTGAGGCTGGTACTGCAGTTGCTCTGCTGGGCTCTACTGGCCTTTCTTTTATGCTCTAGCTGAGTGCGAAGTACTGTTTGATTTTGGACAAGAAGGCGAGCAACTGCCTCGAGCTTACACGCAAGCACGGCATTCGATTCTACATCTTTGCGAAAGCATCGGGCAGGCCATGGCAGCTCTTGGCATTCCAGGGCAGCGCCAGGCATCACCGTCGACATGCGACATGTGCGAAGACAGCACGTGTCCCACTGCAGAAGGAGAATGTGTAAGCTTCAGCGCTACACATTCTCCAGCAGGGACCTGGACTTTTGGCTGGCAGGCGCCGAATGCGGAAACCGCCAACGAGCTGTCACTGCCTTGGGGTTGCGCAGCCGCTTCCTGTGCTTCAAAGCGGCCACCTCCAAGGACCTTCAGCCTCGCCGACTTCCGAGGTCGGAGGCCGAGAGACCCTGTAGGGACTGGCTCATCTTGACGCAATCAGCAGCTGCAGGCAGAGTGAGTTGGAGCGTCTACAGCGGTTGCAGGCTCGTCGATTCCGGGCGACACTTCGACTGCTCCTTGCCCGTCTCAAGGACCGCGGCGTGCCGCTGACCGAGAGCTCCTTGTCCGCCCACACCTCAGCGCCTTACAGGACAGCATTCAGGGTGGGGAGTGCAATTTTTTCCAATGCCTTCACCCCCATTTCAGCTTTACAGTGGCGTGAAACACTGATCCTGGAAGGACGTGCTTGTAAAGGCTGTTGAATTCGTCTGGAGGGCTTTGCCATGCTTTGCCTGTGCTCATCGTGAGCAGGCACGACCTGCTTCGAAATTGACTAAGCAGGCAAGCAGGTATAGTGAAGCTTTGCAGCTTCCTGTCACTGTAACAGCAGCAGCCAACATCGTGTTGCCGAGGCGCTGGGCATCGCGCGCCCTGGTGGCGTGGCAGAGGGTGCAGGAGCCTCAGTTTGAGAAAGTGCGTCGATTAATTTGTACATATCTCATTAGCTAGTCAGCTAGTCGCTGCTGTTCGCTCTCGACATGCTCGGATGGCGACGAAACTTAGGTGAAGTCAGCGCGCGAGATGCAGAGTCTCTCTGATGGTCAGGACTCTCTCAGCTCAGATTGGCATCACTTTCGAACTTCACGAACCCGAGCGCAGGCCGTGCTCGACAAGTCCATGGCTGCTGCCGGCTTGTTCCCGGCAATGGTGCCAGGCGGGAGAGTAGGAAGAAGGGAAGGCCAAGCGAGGCCAGCGGACGTTTCCGTGCAGGCGCCAGCTTCTCCCGCTTTGGCCTCGGCTCCGACGTCGGCGCCTCGAAGGCTCTCGGCCTCGGCGGCCTCGGCGATCTGCGAGTCTCCGAGCTCCGAGGGCAAGGCGGAGGCCAAGGCTCGCGATGTGCGGCCACCGGCGCTTCAAGACAACGCCTCGGAGGGAGGACCTGCACACCCTATAGTCTCTAGGCCTTGCGATTTTCTCGCTCCCAATTAGGCAGTCGCTGCACACCTCCGCACCTTGCTGGCCTTGGAACAGGAGGCACTCGAAAGCACATGTCCCTTCTGCTTTCCGATTTTGGAAGCCCAGGCACACTTTCGACCCACGACGGCGGCAGTGGACAGCCATCAGTCCAGGCAGTTGCAGGCGAGGCCCGGAAGCCTGGGTGCCGGTAAGATGAAGCTCTCTTCCGCGGCGAGTCTGTTGCGAGTCTGTGGCTTCTGCGCTGCAGCAGCCGCCTGGTGCACCCTTGCTGCCTGAGGCAGAGAACTGCAGCATAAATTCTCGTTACAGCATGCCAGCGAGATGGTTCGAGAGGAGATGACGGCTCTGCTTCTGGCCGCCTGCAGTGGGGCTCTAGACGTGCTGTCGCCTTCGGAGGCACTGGGATACGCATGCGCCGTGTGTTAACATTGCCGCTTTGATACCCGTGCTGAGGCATCCCAAGCCCTGCAAGGCGGTGCGCAGCAGAGGACTAAGCGGGCAGAGCCGCCTCAACCACTCCGAAAGGGGTTTCAGAACTGGCGAACACTCGCACGCACCTGCACGTGCATGTCATGGCAAGCCTGCGACTGCGCCGCATCTTGTGCAAGGTCGCCGCTGCTGCTGCATCTGAAGGTCGATGATGGCTTGTTTAACCCAGAATGACCAAGATTATTGGCACGTCCCCTAGGTGCTACCACAGGCTGTGCAAGCAATACGCAGAACTGGCTCGGTGCATTTCAGGAGGCAGCACCTGGCATGCTGACCAAAATTGGTCAGGAGCTATATTCGGCAAAGTCCATGCACCAGAGTCTTTCTGCACACTGCCCTCGGGGTTTGATTGCAAGGAGCCGAAGCTTTCGCAAGCAACCTTGCGAGAGCTGGAAGCGGGGAGCCAACAACAACACAGCTTCGGTTGCGGTGAAGGAAGCGAGCCGTGTGGCCTTGCCGAGGTGGTGGTGCGACTCTTTGTGAAGCTTAGGCAGGCCCAAGTGTGACACGCGGGAAAAGCATGCTTGCCTCTCGCAATCGCAAGATGCTCGGAATCTGCTTGACCAGTGCTTGTTGGCTTCCGGCGTGCAGTCCAATTCGGCATCAGACTTGGCTCCCTCGCCCCGCCTTCCGCTCGCTCTTAAGCACGTCTGCCCAAAAAAGATCCCAAGACGCGCATCTTTCAGAAAACCGTCCTGGCTTCACATGGTCGCTCAGACCCAACTCGGTCTGAGACAAGGATCTGAAAACATTTGGCGAAGCAGCTTGCAACATCTCGCATCTGTGGGAGCTGTCGTGTGGGAGATGCGGATGTCGTGCCTATCTCAGAGAGTTTCGGGCCACAGCTGGGCCGGCCGTTCCTGCCGCGAGAGCAGCGAGCTCAAGCTTCAAAGTTACGCTGTCGACTGCGAGCACCTTCGATAGGCGAATATAGGCGATTTCCGTGCATATTTCCCGAGAGGTCGTGTGGTGGGGCTGGCCCTGTCCCAAGCTCCAGAGCGAAAGGCCGGAAGTGCTTGCGGTCGGATGTCACGGAGCGAGACTTCAACAGCATGACAGCTGTGCCCAGTCTGGAGCCAGGTTGTGCCATGCAGCCGATGGTGGGCGAAGCAGGAAAGGGCCTCTGAGACGCAGGGGTGTTTTCTTTTTTTTTTTCTGCCGAAGAGGCAAAGAAGTTTGCTCGGAGACTAGCTCTCAGTTTCTAATCTCAATCGAAGCCCCGCCAATCCAAGCCTCGTGTTCTAGACTCAGGGTAGATTCCAGAATCCCCTGTGCCTCTTGTGCAAATCTCCAAATACTGTTCAGTCATCGCATCCCCGATAGGCTTGTTTTGAGACACCATGTGCCGCCACTTAGCTTCATTTCTCCCGCAATGTCGAGCTCGTGACGTGAAGCAGTCGGATTGAGATTCCAGAGATAAACCGTTGGAGACGACTTCGCTACAATGCCCTGAGTTTCAAAGTTATTCGCATGGATGTCTTCTGATCTCGATCCGTCTCGATCCACAGATTGCGGAGGAGCGCTTGTGTAGCATCCAGACTGCCAGCACGTGCGATTGAACCACGACGTGTCGACACAGGCTTTGCTTGCGGCCTTGCTCCTGGAGGCTCGCGAGGGTCGTTATCGAGCACGTTCGGATCATCTGTGCGGGTGAATTTCGATGCATGACTGATGTAGTTCTTGTATGTACTGGTGCCCTCATGCTTGCTGGGCTACGAAGGTGTACGAGCGGCACAGCGTCCCAACCTTGGCTTTCCACGAGGATGCCAGCGGAAAGTTACTGCAACATGCCTCGCGACTAGCCAAGTTCATGCTGATGCTCCTGCTCTTAGCCGCTGCAGCAGCCGTGCGCACCTCGGAGCTGCAGCGCCGTGCCTCTGCGCAGCAGTTGCTTCTTTCGGCGCTTCTCACATCGGCGGCGAGAGTCACAAGATGTCACAAGAGATCATACCAGCTTGCTGCCTCCCACAAACATGTGGCGGGGCGGACTGCCGGCCTGGGATGGTACAGGGGCGCAGATCACTGGCGGCGAGTCCGCAGATCTAAGCAACACAGAAGCTCCAACGAAGTCTTGCCGAGGCACTGTTGCGAAGCTGTGGTGCGGATGCGAGGCTGAGTTTGCCTGCCTGATTCCGCATTGGCTTTTGTACATGTCCATGTTCCTGATTTAGCGGAAGCGCATAAACTACCTTATGAGTTCATTTGTTTATCTGTCTAACTGACTTAGGTGTGCTGCCTTGCTTCGCACATCGTCTGTTTCGTTTCTTCTTGAATCGTTGCTGTGCAGCTGAGTTCCGAATTGATCTTCCGCATTATCTTCCACGTTGAACGAGGGTTGCCACGGTTTGTTTCCATGTTGAGTTGCATGCTCTTGTTGTCTTTGATTGTCGAGGCGGTTGGCCTGGCACTTGCTTCGCGCCCGGCAGCCCAATGCAAAGCTCTACAGACAGGCGTGTGCCGTTTGCAAGGGCAGGGTTGGGTTGCGAAGTGGCAGAGGACCAGGTTTTACTGGGACCTCGATCAGCCGGGTCGGACGGAGTCCCAAGCGTCTTGGGAGCAACAAACACATGCGGTCCAGCATGGGCTGATGCAAGAGAAGTGGCTTGTAGCTTGCTGTGGACGCCGGTGCTTGAGCTTCTGCAACCGCAACATGAAACCCCAATCACAGCAAACACAGCATTGTCATGACATGCCATGGCTGGCACGGTGCCGGGCCTCGCAGCTTTCCTGGAGCTTGCACGGCTTGGCGAGTACAGGGCACAGGCCGGCTGGGAGACGAATCGTTAATGAGTCATGAGTTTATGAGTCCACAGAGCGCGATGCTTGTAGCTGCAACTGCAGAAAACGGGCCGCAAAGAGTCATGGTGGTGTCCGGCATGCCAGCTGATACGCTTCAACTTATTGCCTGCAGGCGGGTGCATTTTGCAGCGGCTGTGGCGCCATCGAGGCTGCGTCATCGCAAGGATTCCTTGTGCGATCATGCGAGAAAGGGGCGAGAAGAACGAATGTAGGTGTTTGGAAATGTTTTCTCCAAGAGCTTGACGGGTCGAAGATGTTGCCCTTGAGCCATGTTGCTATTTTGCAAGCGGCCCATGGAAGTTGTTCCCGAAGAGGTCAACCTTGGTTGGGAGGGCATTTTGTACGCAGGCTGTGGGGGTGGTGCCCGTGCGGTTGGTGGCTGGGAGGCGACGGGGTAGGTGGTTATCATAGCCTCACAACAACCCGACTGGGAGGTTCGTGAAGTCCTTGAAGACGAAGACCTTTGCGAAGAACTTGCACGGCACCTGAACCTGTGACCTTTCTGAATACGTGCTCTCATATCTTTCCGCAAGAAGCTGCCAAAGAAAGGGACTGTACGAAAGACCCTGGTCCAAGGAGACCACTGGAGTTAAAGCGCTTTGCTTCCGTGGCCGCAGAGGTCTCGACCTCGGATGGGGACACAGGGAATGTGCGTGCTCCTCCCAACACGGCAGGTGCGGGCTGATCCTGCAATTGAGCTGGTGGATGCTGAGGAGGTCCCAGAAGAGGTGCCGTAGTTCCATCATGTTCCATCCTTGGTTGCGGGTGTTGTGCAGCTTGCAGTCACAGGGGAAAGAAGCTGTCGGCAATCAGGTTGTCACAAACGGCAGCTGCCTTCCCAAACCAACGAGAGCCTGCCTGGGGTTGAAGGGTGCTTCGTCCTCGCTGTGTGCAGGCGGAGTCCGTTGGGAACCCCGCAGACGAGGCTTGTTCGCAACGAGGGCTCCACACCTTACAACATGCGCATTGTGATTGGACTGCCTGGCAGGTCCCCGGTGCTCAGCATCACTCCTTCCGCACAAGCGGATGGAATTCCAAGCGCGGCATCAGAAGTGCACGTGGCGGACGAGGTGCGCAAAGCTTTCACTCGCAAGTCTGGGGCGAGTACAGCTGGGAAGTCTAAAGTCAGTCAGCCACAGAGATGTTCGACTCCTGCTTTCTACGCTCTGCAAAGATGTCGGGTGTCAGTGCCGCAGGCCGTGGAGGCTTGGGTCACTACTTTGATAGCTACTTGGCACAAGCTAAATCGCATTGCTGTGTCGTGTGGCTCGTGGCAGAGTATCGATATCTTCCTGCCCGAGCATGAAACACTTCTTGTCTATTGGTGCAGCACAGCACGGAGTGGATGCCAATTTAGAGGGGATGCCTAGAAGTGTCACTCAGGTGTGGCATCCGACGACCGAGATGTGCAGGGAGGCAACAAAGAGCCGGTAACTTTTGTATCTTACAAGATGTCGGCTGGCAGGGACCATGCTTTTCAGCACAGGCTCTGTACTCCATGTGTCTCGTTGCGGCTTGTTTGAACTGCACTGTGGTCAAAAGCTCAGAGTTTTGTGTTTGAAACTGGAAGAACTTTGTCGCTGTTCGATTGCCCTTTGAAAGTCCTTGCCCGCTGCTGAAAAAAACTTCAGCAGCAGCAGCAGCAGCAGCAGCAGCAGCAGCAGCAGCAGCAGCAGCAGCAGCAGCAGCAGCAGCAGCAGCAGCAGCAGCAGCAGCAGCAGCAACAAAAAAGACGCCTGACCTCCTGGGAGCTGGATCCAAGAAATGGACATAAATGGACTCGCAGCAACCGATTGCTTCCATCCGGTTGAGTTGGTCGAGCATTTAAGGCAAACCAGGTTCAAAGACGGCACACTCTACCGTGCCTGCGAAACCAATCCAGAAAACGAAGCCATGCAATCTCAGCATCAGTGCAACGAGCCGCACAGAGCTGAGCAGACACCCCATACTGGTAGCATCTGCCGCCTTTGTGTGTTTCACTGTCGCCACAGCTGCAGCCACGGTAGCCGTATGACAAAGCCAGAGCAGATATGGCCAGACAGCTCACTTACTTGAGAGGCTGAGTGCGTGATTCCGAGCCAGAGGATGTGGTTTTGATCCGCTTCCGAGATCTGCCGTGCAGGCCGTGGGGGCTCGGGCCACTACTTCGATAGCAACTTGGTGCAGAAGGAGCCCCTGCTTTAGAGTCGTGCGGATAGTGTTGATGAAATCCGTACGGTCAGCAGTGTTGATTGTTGCAACACCTGCGTGCTCGAGCAGAGACACTGTCGAGCATGATGCATGTCAGGTGTGGCATCAGACGACCGAGATGTGGGGGGAGGCACCCGCCCACCGCAACGGAGCCATGCAGCAAATCCATACTTCAGTCGCTCTGAAGAAGTCAGTCCGAATGTTTTTGCTTTGCTCTGGGTGCACCTGAAGTTTTCTGCGCTCGATCTGCAGTCTGTTTGTTGATGTCACGCACACCAAACAGACTGAAAACGCCAAGGCCTGACCTGACATGTAGATCATGTAGCAGGAACCACCAACCAGTTTCGAATCGTCTGCTCGAGCTCAATGAACAGAGCAGTGGCCGCGTGTCAGCGCCAAGGTAGCCAGGTGGGCGAATCGTCGCCGGGCGAGGACAGAAGTATAGACTACGCACAAACAGACAATTGATACTCAGACCCTAAACCCTAAGTCGTAAGGCCGTTTCAGAATTCAGTCAGTAAGCATAAGACGGATGAAGGCGATGCAGGTGTAGGTTTCTTTTCTAATCAGCTCTGGTTTCGTGAGTTCCAGGCTTTGGATTCTTGGATTTGAGCACTGTGTGGGCTGAAGAGGAGGAGAGAAACAGAGACTTGCCGTAATGACGGAAGGAAGGAAGGCAGGAAAGAAGATTGGGATGCCAGGCAACGTGACTGGATCGGATTACAGATCAGACTCAAACAGATTCCTTGGACAACAGAATCCACGTTCTGAATCTGCAGAAACGAGGACGGGAAGGAAAGCAAGAAAAGAGGAAGGGAGGGACGGAAAGAAGGAGTGCCGAACGAGAGATGTTGGCCTGAACATATTGCGTGAGTGCAAGCCGTCACAAGTACAAAGGTTAGGGTTCCTGTGAACCAGGGGAATATTCCTATCGATTAGAATCGTTGTCTGGTAGGGGCTCGGACCCTGTTGCCTTGATTGAGAACCTCCCAGGATATCTGAGGAAAGACAATCGCACAGCAGTGTTCATTTGGTGCATGATTAAGAGTTTCCGATTTTATGTGGCTGTGGGAATACACTTGCCATCGTCATCCAACGGTTTCTTTTGGGCAATTTTTGAACTAGCTATTTCGGCTCCGGCACTCCTGCGACTTGAAAGTAACGACCTGACCGGAAGCGCGACCCCTAGAGTAATCCCTAGAATAACCCATCTAGCAACTAATAGCTGTTTGAGATCAGGAAATTCCAGGCAAGAGCCGTCATTAAACCAAGCGGAATAATTAGACACAAGCACAACATAAGCACTGGGTGTTGAACCATTGAGCAACATTGGCGATGGCCATGAACAATGCAAGAGACTGCAGTGTCTTCGTGCAGTTTCTGTGTGACATGCATACTGCGAAGTGCTGCCTCTTTTGTGTCACGCATCTACGGCTAGCTTTGCTTTCGATGCCCAACATCACATAGCCTGCGGGCCTGCGACACTACAGGACATTTGTGAAAGCTGCGGCTCTCGAAATGTAGGCGCGAGCCGGGCGGGACACGTGGACTGTGGAGTGGTGCCGTGGAGCCTGGACATGTCGGACGCTGACGGGATGACAGGTCGACATATGTGCTTCGACTGCGGAGCAGAGCGAGCGCCGCCTGCACGGGAGGCTGCTGCAAGCAGATAGGTTCGCACACGCTCGTGTATCATCGTGTATCATTGCTTCAGGCAGCCGCATCAAGACGAGGCAGCCGCCAGCTGTAACAGCGACAGTTTCGCCAGACCTAGTTTCAGAGCGTGATGTCAGCCGGAGGCGGTGCAAGTGCCCCGAGTGCACAAGGAGGGAAGGCGCCATGCAAAGACTCTGGGTACACATCACCACATCCTTCAGTTCTTCGGAATGCGCGTGAGTGTGCCGAGCCTTGCTTCAGGCAGGGTATTCCATCTCCGAGGCCCTCGTTGAATCACCGGAGCAGCGTGGAGGACTAGGATCACACCCAATTAAGACGCCACCTGCAAGGCGGCTGGCAAGTCAGCCACAACCCCATCCATGCCCAAGCGAAGGCCAGCGGCATGGCCAAGTTCGCAGCCCCAAGGTCCGAAGCGTCGGACGGATCCCTCGCTTGCTCTGCAGGTTCTGCATCAACTGTGGAAGTCAGCAGCTGCCACATGCAAAATTTTGCTCCGAATGTGGAAGCCGTGACTTGGATGAACGAAGCGACGGCCTGTATTGGCAGCAAAAAGTACCGTGGGTTGAGGAATGGATGAGCCCGCGCAGAGACAGTCCGAGCCGAACTATGCAGGACAGCGAAGACTTTCGAAGGGAACTTGCCTGTTTGCAAGATTCTGCTGTAGGAGAACCGCGAAGGGTAGTTGAAGCTGAGACACGACCGGGTGTTCGACCTGGAGGCGTCAAGATACCGAAAGGCACCTTCCTTCCACTGGCACCCTGGGCTCTTAAAGCATCTTAAAGCCGCTGATGTCCACTCGCGTCAGGCGGAAGCGGTGGACGTTCTGGGCACTACTTCGAAGCAGAGGCTCAGGAGCGAACGCGCGCCTGCTTTTGCTGCTGCCATCCTTTGAGTCTGCCGAGATTTCCGGAGGAGGAGCCGGAAAGCCATCCCAGCCTTGCGGAGCTGCGGGCTGAGGCCGGGAAGCTTCGGGGGGGGCTCGAGCTCCACAAAAGGTTGAGGCACCATTTTGGGTGCGCAGCATAGCGGAGCTTCGATTGCTTTTCGTTTGTGAGCTTCTCAAACCACAATCTGGATCTCTTCGATTCTGCTCCGATGTACAGCTGGGTTTTTGTTGCTATTTTGCGTTGTTTCACAAATTTCGCAAGCATGCACGAATCTCGTTCTTCCAGCGAAAGCCGGCTGCGGATGGCTGCGGGACGGGCGGGCAACCAACTCTGCAGCGGATGCTGTCGGCGTTTGAGGAGAACTGTTCTCGGCCCGCCACGCTCACCCGTACTCACCCGGCCTTTGGGACATTGGTATGCCTGCTCGAGAACTGGCAGCTGCCAAACAAAACTGTGGAATCACATGGCAGGGCGGGCGAGCGTGAGCTTGTATATCTGTAGTCGAAGTAGTATTCTGGAAGAACATACGCATCCCTCGATCAGCGGAGATTGGTTTACAATGGAAGGACAACCAAGCATGCTAGATCATGCTTGCAATGAATCCGGCATGGATGTCACACGATACGCGCATGTACACAACGCGAGCTGAACGCGGCTGCTGAAAGCTTGGACGAATGAATGGGCCGCGTGCACCTGGGGAAACGAGTTGTAATGGAAAGCAACCTAGTGACGACAGTGTCAGCTGCACAGCACGTTGTCTGCGCATGTTTTGCCTACTCATGCCATTTCATGTCTGCTCGGGTGTCTTCTGCTGTTAGGCGTTGGCTGGGCCGCCAAAGGAGCGAGGCATTGGAATCTTCGCCAGAAAATGGGAAATGAACCTGCTGGCCCAGCGCCCAGCTTAAAATTGTCACAGCCCAGGAGCCTACATCCGCAGTGTTGAGGGCGAGCTTTGGGGCCGTGTTGTTGCCGCCGCTCGCTCGAGAGAGCTCGTCCTGCTTCACCAAAAGTGCATGGCACCTCACAAGGACACGGGGAAAACCTGGAAGTTGGCATCGGGGCGGTCTGCCAAGAAAGAGTTCCTGAGCCAAAGACTAGAATTGACTAGAAGAGAGCAAAGCTCTGTTTTTGGGGGGATGTGCAGTCTGAACGAGTCTGGGCCGCTCCGAACTGCTGAGCGCCTTGAGTCTCAGGAACGAGGGCCGGGCCTGGAACTTTGATCCGGATCCCGGACGTCGAGATCAGCCCAGGCACCCCGCCTGCCGGAGGAGGGTTTCAGGGCTCATCATGGGCTCCCCCTAGCATTCGGAGATGGCGTCCAGGTCGTAGACGCTAGTCACACTGGAGTGTCCTGAACGTAGCAAAATGGCTGGTGAGGTCTGCTCCTTCGAGGAGGGCCGATGAGGCAGGGGAAACCGGCGAACACCAGATCTCCTAACATTGTTCGCGCTGCAGAGGCTATGTGCAGCGCTGGAAGGCCTTGGGAGTGTTTCAAAGATGCCTCGCTGTGGCCAGAGAGTCCCTTTCTGTTGAACCCTGGAGATTCTACTGCATTCTACTGCATGACTACAGCAGTGCATCCCGGGTGTGTCCGCAAGTCCTCGAACCATTAATCTGCAGCGTTGTCCCATGCTGCCCCAGCTTCGAGCGTCCTGGCTGCCATCTTCGCTCAGAGGACAGTTGCAATTCGCATGACGAATACACAGCGAACCTTCCAGCCACTACCGGTACTGCAAGAACTGCAAGCTTTTTGACGTGGCAGAGTTTCTGACTTTTACTACTGGGGGGCCCATGCTGATGGGCGCCAAGCAATGTATGAGCCTTTTCCTTTTCGTGCTTTGCCGCGTTGCTCTCGGTGATACAGCCTGTCCAGGGCCAGGAACTCCGGGAACGCCTGATGCTAGTAGCCTTTTGCAGGTCGTGGGACCAGAGACAGAGGCGAAGCGAGAGCCTCCCCAGTCTGCAAAGTTAGAGCCTCACAAAGCTGCCGCAGCCTCGACGAAACACGCTGCCGAAGTTGCGAGCGCTACCGCCGAGTCAGGGAAAGGGAAAGTTGTGGCGACCGTGAAGAAGCAGACTCCGCCCAAAGACCCTAGTGAGACGATGCTCCAAAGTATGCTGGATGCCTTCGGAAACTACCTGAACAGACTGCTTTTTGGCTAAGAGGTGCGACATGACAACTGGTGAATTTAGGAGCTCTCGAGCAAGTCTGTGTCCAGTGCTTGAAAAGCACGTGTGATGCAAAAGGCATCAAAAGGCAATCCTTTGACAAAGCTGGATTCCATGATCACGCGAGAAAGGTCTCTAGAAGGAAATCGACAAAGCCTGTTCACAGCGAGTTGTTACCGTTTGGAAGATCTTCCTCGCCCACCCTCCAACTAGTGCGGTGCCGACGTACGCGGCGGTTTAAAAACCGGAAGCCAGGGCGTCAGCCTTTCGCATGTTACACACCGCAAGCAGAGATACCTTGCAAACCATGCGACATCTTGGGCCCCTCGCTTCCTGTCCTACCACACATCCACGCACCCTGAACAGTGCTTCATGATCTAGAGGCTCCTACGAAGCAGATCAAACATGGATTGTGCTGATGCAAGCCCGCCTTGGGGTGTTTCGACTGCCACTTCTGTGCTAGAGAGGTAGCATGAATTTCTTGAACGATGTAGCCGATTTCCGCTAGTAGCCGCCAGAACATGTTAGCCGTGCGGAGGGCTGCATACAACAGGCAGTGAACCTTCGTGAGGGAGAGTTGGCACACCTGCGCCAGGCAGACATCCGTCCTGGATGCGCTGGCAGAAAAAAAGCCTGGGTCTTTGCCACTGCAAAGGGGCAAAGATGGCCGCCTTCTCTTTTTTGAGAATCCCGCCCCAAGGCGCCACGATGAGCAGGCCTTGGCTGCCAAGCGCGAGGCGGCACGGCAGAGGCCTGCAGCGGTTTCAAGGGATCCTTCTGTTCTGGAGGTCCGCAGGATCTTTAGCAGACTTTAGCTTCGATGGTTTCGGTGATCTTTCCTATCCAAGAATCTAAGAGGCCCCTAATTCCAATTGCAAGAAGCACTGGCGAGGCGAAGGGCGCAGGACCGGCTTTTGGGTGCCTCCGTGTCCACGCTGGGAGTGCACCCAGAAGAATCTCATGTCGAGTCATGGCATTTGCAGAATTTGCCTTTGAACCCCAATCCATCTTGAAGAGCATGCTTATGATGAATTTTCTACGGCTTTTTGTGGAGTCGCTTCTCCATGCGACACAAGAGTTGCTCCCCAGCCACTGATTTCACCGCAAGGACCAACCTGCAGCAGAGCGACGAGTTGACCCCGACGACAACAAAGCGTACACTTGGGACGAGCTGAGGCCAGGAGCAGAGGAGCAGAGCCAGGGGCCAGCTAGCCCGGCGTCGATGTGTTCTTTGGGCCGCTGCCTCTCTAGGCTCTTGGGTTTGGCCATTGAATCACAGAAACATACCTAAACCCTAAACGTCCAGTTGAAGGGTTCCGTCCCCGCTTTGTCAGGCAACGGTACCTTGGCATGTTCTCGGATGTCGAGCTGACGGAGTATTGGGACAAGGACACCGGCCGGTCACTCACGCACAACCTACTTGCCAGCTACACACCGGGAAGAGAGCCTTTTAATGCCGACATGCGTAAAAGGTTTTAAGCAAGTGTCCGGAAGCTTTTGATCTTGAAGCCTTGAACCAAGACTTGCCTCGCCCGATCTTGCGAGGACTGCAAACCCACACGTCCAGCGGCTGGCGCTCCGAACCGCCACGATGTTCCAGAGCGCCACTGTGACTGAGAATCTTCCCCTCCTTCCCCAGATGCACAGACCTTGGATTCCCCTTGCTGCGGCCTTAGGCGCGCCTCGCAAGGCGGCAGAGCGCCGCCGCGATCCAGACGACGGGCACGGGTACAGTTGCCGAGCTGAGTCGGCGTTCTCGTAGTATCCCGCAGACTACTAGGAGCATGAAACACGGTGAGCATCTTCGTGTCTTCAGGTTTTGACGAGCTGTTGAAGAAGTACCGCGCAGCCTTCTCGTTGGCAGAGATCGAAGAGTACTGGTTGGAGGCACCTGCGCATGTTCCGGCGCGTGCATTGTCGATGCCGTGTGGCAACGGCTGAAGCACAGCTCTGAATTGACATAGCCACGACCCATCATTCTGCTTCCATCAGGAGTGCCAGCCGTGCTCGTGAGAGGCCTCATAGATTCGCCGCAGGGAGCTGAACACAAGCTTCCAGCGTGCTGATAATGCATCGTGCCACAGCATTTGTTGTGGTCGACGAGAGGGCGCTAAAATGCGCATTGAGTCGAGAAAAACATGGGTGCCGGCACAAGTTCGTGGAAACAGGCGCCGCCATCGACAATCTTTGCACATGTCAGCTCCTTCGAGATATGCTCTTCTTTGTCCTTGCCTTGCGTACACCGAGATCTCTGCGGAAGCCGCTAGAAGCTGGAGGGTCACAATCCGGCAGATCTATGCGGTTTTGAGAACCAAGCAAAAACGATGCAACCAAATCCCTGCAATGACTTGCTTGTCACAAGCATTATCGGCCAGTACCAATCACATGATGCTAAGTCCTTTTTTGAAGACTGGCTTGCCTCACATCCTGAAATCGACAGCAGTGCCTCAGTGCCTGTCGGAGTTTTGCCAGGTTCTCCTGCTGATCCTCAGCTTGGACGTCCCACGCCTGGTTTTGGCAATATATGTGCCTTGAAGAAGCTGCTAGTCCCTGAAACTCAGAAAGCGTGGATGTGTTCGTGTCCAGACGTGTTGAGATGTTCTGGAGTGAAGTTGGAAAACACAGGCACACGGAAACTTGGAAACTCACTAAAACTCAGCTTTAGAAAGGCTATCATCTTCGCAGCTTTGCGTTTCAAGCCGAGCATCAGTGCAGTGCTGTAGGCTATACTTTCAAGCTGTAGCCTGGGAATCCGGCAAGTAGAGTAGCCAGGCAGAGTTTTCATCTTCAGACAAGATGTGAAGTGAAAGCATCACAGGAGTACCGCAGCAAGCATTCCTTCGCACCGCAGCACAACGACAGCAGGATGTATGCCTCCGTGCAGAAGTGTAGCTTCGGTCCCCATTCGTGATGTATCGGCATGAAGAGAGCAGCAGCAACGTCGACGGAGAATTTGGTCGCTTGGCAAGGAATGGGTTGACCTAGCATTTCCCCACGCCACGGCTGTACATGCTGACACTTTGCTGTGCGCCGAGTGCGAGGCAAAGCGGCACCAATCCGCCGTAGAGGCTGAGGAGTCCCCGGAGGAAGCCTGCAATCCTGCCCGCGGAAGTGGTATGGTGTTGTGGTACAGCGGCCGGCGCCAAGTCGGCAAAGTCCTGTCTGATGACGGGGTCGAGATGAGCATACCCATTGGTGGCGCCCTGAATAGAAACGTGGTTCCGCTGACACCCAGCGGTCTGATGCATGGCACTCGCGTGCGCTGTATGCCTGTCAGACGGAAAGATGGCTGGCAGTGCATTTCCGTGCGCCCGAGTGAAGGCGTTCAACAAGGATTGACCGTGGGCGTAGACAAGCAGGGAGGCAGCTCCGAAGACCAGAGCCATCTCTCCGCTGCTGATGTGGCAGACGTGGGCTTTCTCATTGGCATCTTGGATGGACACTGTGGGGGTGCCAGTGCCGCACACGTGGCCAAGCGATTTCCGGGAATTCTGCATGATGTCTACAACTCCGAGCTGAGCCAAACCAGAGGCCGCTGACACAAAAGTGCATTCCAGGCATGGGTAATTTTTCTTCGTGGATGCAAGGAGCAGCACTCAACGGAGTGCAGGAGGCGAGGCAGTGATGCTGTGGATTGGACCAAGTGAAAGTTCGAAGGCGATCAGCAGTCTTGCTCTGCTAGGTAGAGCTTCTCCGCGATTCTCTTCGAGGCCTCGGAGAGGGGTTGACATTGACCATGCTAGAATGCTAAAGACTTTGTCAAAGGCAGCTTTCACGGATTCCGTGTGATAGCTCCGACCAGGTGCCTGCCGCGCTGCCGAACGGGACCGCAGCGTGAGCAGTGCAGCCCACTCACAAAAGAATGTGCCCCGAAGGTCACTGAAGATCACCTCTCCCCTTCGCCATGATTCACGCATCAGTCCTTTTGTGTCTGGAGGACTTGATGAAAGTGGCATCTGAAGGCCATTGGACAGACGGGCCCCTCGGCTAGAGCAAGCTTCCAGAACGTGGTTCCAATCTTGTTCATGCCTCACTGGCTCCAAACTTCTGCCAAAGTAATTCTCAGCAATCAGACATGGCACCAACAGGCCTGTAGGTTGCTGCAGGCGAGATCCCAGTCGCTTTGATGTTTTTCAGGTCTTTCCCAGTGTCCAGTGGTAGAGATCAGCTCGGCAGTTCTCTTTACGAACTCTTCTCACTATGCGGGTTCCCCTCTCAACCGCTCGGCAGTTCTTGTTTCTCAACCCTGCAGCAGCCCTATAGAGTGTTCCCGCATGGGTACATGGATTTTGGAAGTTGTGGATTGTGAGGACATCGGCGGTCTTTGCCTTGCTGGCGCATGGCTTCGAGAGTAAGAGCGCCTTGGGCTGCAGCGGCTTTCCGGGTTACTCCGAATCATACCGAGACGCGATAAATTTCTGGAAGAGCATCCCAAATCTTGCATCCCAAATCTTTGTGAACAATGCTGCACTTCTACACTTGAACACATTTTGATGTCTTGCTGTCTTGGTGCCGGCAGTTCTGATCTTGCCCATCCATGTTGTGGAACCTGCTCTTGTTCTGTACTGCCGCCCTAGTCACCCCCCCCGACTACTGATCTTTTTCCGTTTTTGCTCTCATCTTTTGGGGACATCGCCGAGCTCTGCCATAGCACCAAACCATGGCAGCGGAGTTCGTTATGGTGTCGGACACCGCACCAGCACGGGCCAGAAGTATGCCTGTGCATCGTCTTTGTAGAAAGTCACCCAGCAGGGAAGCGCCCGTCAAGAAGCCGCTGTTTACATTCCTCCAGCTACTATAAAAGGGTTCTTGCACACGATGAGCCTGGCGGGGACGCGGTCGTGCCTGTTTTCCACAGAGTCCTAGGACAACATCAGGATGAGACACAGTCCGTTGGTGTGTGAAAGCGATACTCCCAAAAGCGACACCCTTGAGGAAACGCCCCTTTGATTGGTACGTGCACGATCACTTGCACGTGCACACTGAGCTGCCTCGTTTCGTGCAGCGAGGCGTGGCAAGCGTTTTTGCTGAACAGCAGCGAAGCACTTTTCGCCGAGAAGATATGGGCAGAATATTTCACCATTACAGGACCAACGTGCTGGGTTGGCCTGTGCTACTGTAAGATGGGCTTTAGCGACGTGGTGCGAGAACGGGCGATAAGAATTCATTTTGCATGGGAAACTCATCCCAAGTCCGACTAGTGGAACATGGTGCGTTGTCGTCAAAACGGTTTCGCTACTTCACAAAATGCCCTTGATCATCCCGCATTTCGCCACCGTGATGGGCTAAAGTTGAAATTCACAGTGCTGATGCACTGGAGCTACTTCCAGCCCAAGAGCTGCCAGATTATGGTCGGCTTCCAGGCTTTTGTAGCTTGGACTGAAGGTCTGAGTAGTATCCGTGCTCCTGCAGCTAGCGAGGTGCGCGGACCGTCCCGGGCTGTGCGGGTGAGGCCAAGATCTTCTTAGTGGCCCGGCAGATAAAACCTGGATGTGGAATACCTACCTTTCTGGTGCGCAGTTCTTCGGTCTGACTGTAGGCATGGTGCGGTGACAGTCGGGCTTTGTTGCTGCATGGCCACAAGGCCATACACCGGCTTTCATGTACTGTTGTGTTTGAATTGTCTTCAAGCATTCCTGGACCCGCAAGGTCGTCGCTCTTTCACATGACCACGTTCCGTCGAGGCACTCTACTGTTACGAGCTTCGGACACCTTTTACAGGTTGTGGTCCTCAAAGCCGTGCGATTTGCAAAGGCTTTCGAAGCGCCAGCATTTCCCGACCTGACAGGAAAGAGGAGTACAACCGGGTAAAAGCCGCGGGAGGCAAAGTCCTCGACTTCGGCGGCACATTGAAGGCCGGTAGGACATCCTGGACACCACCAAACTTCTAAATAGGATTGTATACGACAGAATGACAGAGCAAAGAGTTCGTGCAAATTAGGTAAACGAATTTGATACATGCATAAATACAAACGAGTGAAGAGATGGATAGTTAAGCAGGCAAATCAAGGGTACATCGACATTTATAAGAAATAAAGCATGCCAATCATGCATACTTGTATACATACATTCATGCGTGCGTACATGACTTGTCAGAAACGGGTGTCATTGCTACTGACATCAGACGGTAAGCTGTTGCACTTTAAGGGTTATTGGATTCATTAGGTCACTAATGATTTCGAATTCGAGTTCGAATGTTACATACAGTCAAAGCTGCAGCAAGACCAAGAAGCTATATGTTGCATGAACAAGCAAAGGTGAAGGTCTTGGACTTGGATAGGCTTGTGTGCACTCCAGTAGATGCCGGCACATATGAAGGCGGTACTGAGAATGCAAATGGGTTGATGTAATTCAATCTTGTCTACAAGCCGGTTTCCGCTTTCACTGTCGGCCGAAGCGGGTGAGCAAGACAGGGACATGGCGAGGTATGGGCAGTCAGGGAGGTCGGAACCAAGATCGGCAGGGTAGGCAGGCGGCAAGGGAAAGCTGCAGGCAGGTAGGTAGGTACGAGTGTTCCACGAAGACGGCAGATCCAACACGAGGGTAGTGCATATACAGGTGGACACATGTTTCTGTGTGTATATATATATATAAATATATATGTATATGTGTGTTTTATACACACGTATTGTGAACAGGTACATATGTATATATGTACATTTACATATTGATTTGTTTGTTTGTACATACATGCATGCCTGCATGCGTGCATACAGTTGTATGTGCACACAGACACTTGCAAACAATGCGAACACATAGAGACAAGCACATCTGTACGTATGTACGTACATATATGTTACATCACAACCACTTCTGCGGGGGGGTCCAGATCTCCCTAGACCTTTCTAAGGCATATGACCGCATCCCACGAGACCTCCTTTACAAGGCCTTACTCCGAATTGGAGCCCCCCAGGACTTGATAGCGGCAATCATGTACGTTCATGACAATGCCAAAATCATAATTGAAAGGCAAGGACTGGCTGCCTCGGTTGACTTGGCAGCTGGAATCCGACAGGGATGTGGACTATCACCTATGTTGTGGCTTGCGTTCCAGTTATTGCTGTATGACGACATGTGTGTGCAGTGCTCTGCTGACGCCCTCACTTGTTTTGCTGACGATTTCCATGCCCATTGGGACCTCGGCTCTCCCAGAGACTTCAGGAACGCCTGCAGACAAATAGTCAAGATCTTTACCATTATGGAGCAGCATGGGATGCACATAGCAACGGATAAAACGGTTGTCCTGATTGCTTTGAAGGGCCCTGAGGCTCCAGGCCTACTGCGCGAGTTTACCAGTTGGCAGGGCAAGGATCGGTTCTTGCATCTCCTCCGAGGCGCAGATACACTGAGTATCCCCCTGCGACAGTCGCACAAATATCTTGGAGTACAAATAGGGTATAGAAAGTTTGAACGTCACACCCTCACGGCCAGACTTAAGCTATCATGGGTTGCATTCAGTAGACTGCACACCTTCCTGAAACACCCTGGAATTCCAGCTG